GCCCTTTCAGTCTTTATTCGAACGACTTTAAAAACAGGTCTCAAGTTTTTGATTTTTAATCTAAGCTCGATCGAATAATGCGAGTGAACAGGTTTATAATATTTTATTTTTGTTTTTTTTTAGGCCGTGAATACCTAATTTTACTCAAGTAAAATTATTTTTTTTTAAACTTTTTCTGTAGCGCAATTTGGGAATTAAAAACTTCCAAATTGCGAAAAAAAAATCAGCAAAACAATTTAGAATTTTAAAAAATATATTTTTGCTTTTTTTTGTCATTTTTCTAAAAAAAATTTTTTTCAAGTTACGCTCTCATCGCTTTAGTTTTTTTGTCTTCGGGTATGAGGTTTTCTAGCCGCTTTATAAACTTGCGCGCATTTTATTATCCGGAGTTTTCACCATTGTAGCCCCCCATGACGTGCAAAGTTTGTTTTAGCCCCCCACTTCACTCTCTTCGTACAGCGATTGTTAAACACCTAATTAGCCTATTTTGGCCGAACTTGCAACTTTCAGAATTTCACAACTTCAGAAAAAGTAATCGATGGTGAAATATTTGTTTTTGATTCAAGCTCAAGGAATTTATATCTTCCAGATGCAATGAAACATTTTGTCAAAATTGGTTGATTAAAAAGTTGAAATTGGTCTTATTTAAAAAACCATCCCAATTTATAAACTTTCCATTTTTTTGAAGTCACTGGTTGTATGAATGAAATCCAACCTGGTAAGATCTTTCATATACAAGTTTGCACAATTTTAAAGTTTTTTCTTATTAAAGCCGGCTGCTGAGGATGACGAAGTCATGATAGCTTTTGGCAACAGAAGGCACAAGTTAGAACTCAATAAACTGAGTAATCGTGCTTTTCCTCCATTCGATTTTAATCAAATTGCTCGATTTTATCCGAAAATTTTGAACTATTTTTTTTAAAAAAGAGAAAACTAATGCTTAAAGTTCCAAAATCAAAATTGTCCGAAAACAGCAATTACTTTTTTGGTTTATATGAGATGTGGGCCAAATCTTTCATACTTGCCTTTGATACTTTTACACGCCTTCAAATCCGCCAAGCCACCTGCCAACCCCGCAGCTATCATGTTGTATACGAGGACCGAAGCTTCCATTCTTGTATGGCCCTTTCCATGCTATGCTTATAAAGGGATGGGTTGAAAACAAAAGTGACAATTCATCATTCAGTTTGAGTTTTTGATCTGGTATAGGGCAAATAGAGGAAATAATGAACAGAAAGTGGGTGTGGGAATTGATATGTTTTTCGGAATTATCTTGTACGGAGTGACCGGCCGATGCCCTATAAAACACTAGCGGTCGTTACTGGTACATTTTCTGCTAGTACATGCATTAGTAATCTGAGTGATCAAAATTAAATGTACTAGTACACGGATCTGCAAATTATACGAATTTTTTCAGATCGACCAACTATCAGATTGTTCAGACATCGATACGGTATAGATGCTATCGGAAAACAAAGTTCCACATTATTTCTTATCGCTCTTTTTCAAAAAATGTAAACTGAAACACAGTAGCACAGAAATTTCCGACCACAATAATAAAAAAAATGTATCGTTTTTTATATGTGGCATGATGAAAGGATCTGAATCCTAAAATTTTTCGATTTTTTTTCAAGTTTTATTCTAAAAGCGCTCCAAGAAACTATATTTGCTGGTTTAAAACCTAAATTATACAGCTTTTTGTCACTCGCAAGAATTACACTACTGTACCAGCAGTGAGGTTCTATCGATTATAATGGATTTTCATTGTCAGTCTCCGTAAATTTCAAAAAGAATTGATTATAATCGATTCAAACTGGATTAAAATGTTTCTTTTTTGAAAGAATATAATCCATTATAAGCAATTATAATCGATTATTTTTGAAAAATGTATTTCGAAAACTTAAGATAAATCATAATTTATTTCAAATCAATTAAAATCCATAATTTTTCAACAAACGCAACCGCTTCATTGTTCCGACTATTTGAAAATGGGGAGGAACTTTGTATTCGGGTGTGTTTTAGTTGTTTTCCACGCAAAATCAGGTACCACAAATGATTATGGGAATGGGTCGAGTGATATATATATATAAGCCCTTTCAGTCTTTATTCTAACGACTTTAAAAACAGGTCTTAAGTTTTTGATTTTTTATCTAAGCTCGATCGAATAATGCGAGTGAACAGGCTTATAATATTTTATTTTTGTCTTTTTTTAGGCCGTGAATACTTAATTTTACTCAAGTAAAATTGTTTTTTTTTTTAACTTTTTTTGTAGCGCAATTTGGGAATTAAAAACTTCCAAATTGCGAAAAAAATTCTGCGAAACAATTTAGAATTTTAAAAAATATATTTTTCTGTTTTTTTTTGTCATTTTTCTAAAAAAAATAGTTGTCCATTTTGCTTTTTTCTGTGACTGTCGAATAATGCTAAGTACTAGTTTTTCGTTCAGATCGTTTGATCACAACAGGCAGAAAAATACGACACTAATTTGAAAGAAAAACTACACTTTTATTTAAAAAATTTTAAACTGTTCGGAACATTATGTACTATTCGCAAAGTAACCGGCTACCTTGTTTCGTTTTATTTATGTTTTGTTATGCGCGCTTTTCAGTTGGTATCTTTTTCATTTTTTTTTTCAATTCGATTTTTCTAAACAAATTTTTGAAAAAAAACCTTCAAATAGTGCGACTTCTAAAAATTCTTCAAAACGTCTAAACATGATAATACACATATTTCTAGGTTATTAACAAGGTTGCGTCGACATCTATTGTGTGGTCCCATAGTGTAATTATAATCGATTATAATGGTAACATTCCTGACCACGAAAATTGATTATAATCGATTATTATACTCTGTACTATTATACCCGAAACCTCTCTGCGTGCAAGCCTGCTCGCTTTCTTTTCTTGCTCCAAATAAGATAAAAAGTCAAAAATTGCATTCAATTTTCCTCGACATTTTGCCAATTATCCTCGACTTGGAGAAAACTTTTTGGAATTTTCAAAATGCTTGTCAAATCGCGACTAAAGAGGCTTCAAAAATATAATACTTAAGTCGTTCTGATGATTATTTTTGATTCCTGATTTTGCATGAAAAACAGAAAAAAACTAAAACACCAGAAGACAAAATTTCCCCGTCATTTTCTATAGTCGGAAAAATTTTAAACAATCTAATTATTTCGCTAAAAAGTTTCTCTTCCACATTCTACTGTGAATAAAAGCCCAGCATCATCAAAAAAGGCGCTCAGCCCTATCAGATGTTACAGGCAGTCACTATAAAGTTTTCGTTTTTTTGCCAGAATTTCTTCGGCAATATCTATATCAGCTGCTGTCGATCTCTTCAAACTGTTTCAGACATACGTTTTCCTAAAACTGATTTCCAATTCTGATTTACTGCTAGAAACTTTGAAAGTTGTTAAGATTTTACCCGTTTCAATATCAGGATTAAACGTTTGATGTTTCGTGAAATTGAAATGGTGTTCCAAGTTTGAGTGATCTGCCAATAAGTTGTCGGAAAAATTTTGAACATCTGCAGCCGGGGTTTTTATAGCTTCGAACCTTTCTTATTTTTAGCATCTGACAGTTTTTGTAACAAACCAGGTAAATAATAACATCTGGATTTTTTTTACTTTTAATAATGTCCGGTTAGAAACACAAAGCATTTGATATCTTTATCTCAAAAACTGCGGGGTTTTGCCGGCATCAAGAAAAAAATCATTCAATAAAAAAATTGTTTGATAGGTAAGATTTAATTGCGCATGAAAACATTTCATACCCAGCTCCAAGAAGTCTTTGGAGATGAATCCCACTTTCTTATTTGTTGTTTCCAGAAGTGCTTCCAGACTATAGTTTAAGTATAGATCGGTTTTTATTGCCCCTTTGTCTCACATATGTGAGTTTGAACAGCGCCGTCTAAGCCAATATTACAAATTTTGAGAGGAAAGTGGGGGAGGGGGGGGGGGGGCTGGAGACTTTGGGAGATGCAGAAAAAACGCGTTTATTGGGTCAACACATTTCACAGCGCCTAAAAATGCTCTGTTTGACTTTTTTCTTAAATTCGCCTAAAGCTACAATTTTTCCTAAAAGCGATTCAGGGGAAGATGTTAACTTGGTTCAAAGCTGGATTTTACACGCAGCGCTGAGCCATTTTGTTCCAAATTAAGCGCTGGGTAGGAACATTTTAACTTGGTCTAGTTAGGGGGAGGATGTTAACTTGATCCGAGAAGTTAAAGCTCATTTTCCTACTATTATTCATAGATGGATGTCAGTCACTTTTTTCCAGGTGAGTAAAGCACAATACAAAGTACAGTCATTTTACAAAAGAATTACAGGAAAAGGGAAAATATTGAGACGAGTTGTATAAAATTATAGCTAGTTCCATTAGACCTGAAATTATTACACACTAATTGTGAGCTCGGACCACAATCCCAGCTGCTGGTTGTAATTTGTAAAGATAAACTTCTAACTTACTACTTAACACACGCTGACGCGCTTACTCATAAGTCAGAACTTATGGTAAGAATTTCTATTCTTATGTAATTTTGTACATTTGTAGTATTATTATGTAATTGTAGTAGTTGGTATCAAAATAGTTTTTGAAGCTCAGGGAAGCAAAATTTTCGTTATCTGATTTAGAACCCTGTCTCCATATATGTCGAGTATTCTAGTCTGCCAATCATTTTTATCGATGGTAATAGGCTTAGTACATTGGCATTAGCACCAACATGTTTGAACAACAAAGATCAAAATTGAACTTGACTCATTTTATTGCTAGTTCCGTCTCAGTGCACTTGTCTGCTCACACAAACATCCGTGCTATGTTCAAATTCAATTTATAGCTCGTTTAATTATTTGACTAATTCTACTAAAACTGATAACAGTTTTCAAAAAGTACTTTTAATTACACGTTTTCGATAAGTTTTATATGAGTACATAAAACCATAACACTAAATCAAAATCAGCACTAAAGCTTGCTTTGAAAAAATTGTTTGCCCTGTTTTTCAGCCAGGTCGTCGCAAAATACGACATAAAACGACAAGATTTAGTTGAATTGACGGCCGCGTGAAAACGAGACCTCTGAAAATCAATCTTCTGATAGACAGAAAAGAACGCGATCGAATCATCGCTCATTCAGCTATCAAGTGACTGGCTTCAATTTCAACTTCAAGTGCTTTCGAAGCATCTTATGCGAAAATTCCTCCTTGCCATATGTTACCAATCTTCAACTATCAAATCTTACCAGGTTTATAGCTGATTAAAACTAAAAAAATATCTGGACGGACGCGAAGTCGACCAGAAGTCATTCAGATATTTTGTATTCTTTGGTGTATCAAGTTGTGAGAATTTGATTCAGTTTTTTTTTCTTATTATTTTTTGTCAGTTTCATTACAAAACGAACTTTTAACATTTCATTTATATTGCTTTCGTTTCACTAATACGTTGTGCCATTCATTTCGGTTGTTGAAGATTTCGCCAACAAGTTTATGCGAATGAGGTGATCGGAAGATTGAAGACGAAGATTTGTAAAGGTGTGAATAAATAGATAGAAATGTTGAGTCACCTGTTCGACTTGGTTCGCACTAACACTGCAGCCAGCAACTACAACACAGATGGAGTGGACAAGTGCAACAGTCGCTACTGTGCCATCATCCTGCTGGTGCTCGGAACATTCGTCATCACCAACCAGGTAAGCTCCAAATTCAAACAACCAGACCGGAACGAAAATTTTTGACAGCTTTTACTTAAAAATTCATCTTCTTGTTTCTTGAAATAGAACCAATTTGGTACTACCATTTTATTAAGAAGACACAATTTTCTCAACTAGTTCCAACGTCTTTTCACAGCAAAAAGCCCTTTTTAAAGAAAAATGCCTTTTTGATACTAAAATCCGAAAAATAGAAGCAAAATTTGGCGTATTTCTCATAACTTAAGTCAAGATAGACTAAAAGGGGGAGCTCATTCCTCATATAAGTAATTAACTTGATCGACAGGAAAATAATAAAATAAAGAACGTTGGCACAAATATATTGCCGAAGAACTAGAGATTAAATGAAAATTCAAATGAACTAGGATGTAGCTTAGTTTGACAAGAGCCGATGGTTCGCAAAAAAATGGAAAATTAAATTGCGCTATATTCACCCGAGCTCATCCAATACAAAAAATTACCATCCTTTCTAACTTTTGGGTTTACGGCTACGAGTCTGTTCAACTTGTGAGTTCTATCCATGATCCTTAATTAGTAACGAAAAATCAAAACAAGGATTTATACCATGGCGAAGGCCTTAAATGATCGGGATCGGACTGCATTTTGAATTTTCCAACAAAAAATGTTGATAAGAAAACCCGATGAGGTAATCAAGCAGAAATGTTTTTTTTCAAGGTTTTTTCTCAGAAAAACTTCTTTCAAAGATTGCAGAAAAGTTTCTTTTAAGGTTCTTCTCCAAAAACAACAAATTTTTTAGCATGCTGTGCCAAGAACTACCTCAGCATTGCATTTGTCTATCTGTTTGCTAATACCTAACTTAATTAATGGCATTGTAGTGCATTGATAGTGATGGTCCCCCCCCCCCCCCCCCCCGCAACAATTGTGTATTTTATTTGTAGTTGGTGGGAGACGTGATAGACTGCTGGACTGACGCGCAGTTCAGTGGCCAGTGGGTGAAGTATACTGACCAGATGTGCTGGGTGAGTAACACGTACCACCTGCCAGATGATATGGCCCCGGAAGTGGGGCGCAACACAGAACACATGTATGAGATCAAGTACTACCAGTGGGTGCCCATCATTCTAGCCAGTTAGTACATCACAACTCATAACTTGCACTGATAAACTAAACTGAACAGAACATTTAACTGAAACACTTATTGTTCCGACTTTCGTAACGAAAGGAACGGAATGTTTGAGCTTCTTTTTTTTGGGGTGGGTTTTTTTTCGACTTTTTAACTAGCCATTTTTGACGGAATTTTTTTACAGTATTCGAAAGCTATTGTTGTTCTAAGCTTAAATTTGAAAAAATATTTCACCTGTGATCATTTTCGTAAAGTTATGGGGGTTTAAAAATTGCCATTTTGGCCATTTGGGACAATTGACGCGCGATTTGTTTCGCGCTATTAACGCGTAAGCGAGATCTAATCCGCCTTAAAAAGCTTTCCAAATTAGTTCAAGGAAGCTTATATGCCAGAATTGATTTGTTAATAGGAGCAAAATTTATCATTTTTTACTTAAAATGGCGTGTGGCGGGATGTTTTTACAAAAAATCTCAAATTTTTTAGCAAAAAAATTAATTTTATTTTATTATATTGAAATTTTCAATGTTATTACTGCTCCATAGACCTTAAAAGGCAGTCGGTACATTCAGGGCTTCGCCCTGATACGAGCACTTTTTTACACTAGCTAGTCTCGTGTAACTAACTGAAGCTCAAAAGTTGCAAAAAGTTACAAAGCTGATGATGAATTAATTCACGGCCCTCAGGCTGGAAGCAAAACCAGATACCTGGCGTTTTAGAAAAGAAAAACCAAGGCCCATAAACTTTTTTACGTCCCAAAGATTTGAAGTTTGCCACAAACAGAAATTAAGTCAAAAACTGAGTCTCATTCCTTTCCTCGTTAATAAAATAGTTCATCCACATAAAAGAAGTATGTTCAGTTTTTTTTATTTTAAAAACCGCCCTAAGGAATATACTGAAAACTAGTTCTAAACATTGAATGAAACACTACACAAAATGTGAAATCTAATGTTTTCCAAATTCAAGTATAGACAAGACTGCTCGTATCAGGTTGAAGCACTGACTGTTCTGACTGCCTTTTAAGGTCTATGCAGCAGTAATAACATGGAAAATTTAAATATAATAAAATAAAAATTTTTTTTCTAAAAAGTTCGAAATTTTTTGAGAAAAGATCACCCCACACGCCATATTAAGTACAAAGTTATACAGTTTGCTCCCATTAACGAATCTATTTCGGCATATAATCTTCCATGAACCAATTTGGAACGATTTCTAAGACGGATTAAATCTTGCTTACGGGTTAGTAGCGCGAAATACATCGCGCGTTAATTGTTCCAAATTGGCCGAATTGCCAATTTATAAACCCTCTTAACTTTACGAAAAATGATCACAGGTAAAATATCTTTTCAAATTTAAGCTCAGGACAACAATAGCTTTCGAAGGGTGTAAAAAAAATTGGTCAAAATGGCTAGTTAAAAAGTCAAAATTTGTCTGAAGAAAAAAAACCCACCAGAGCACAAATATTCCGTTACTTTTGTTACAAAAATCTGGGCAAAAAGGATAGCCGGTTGCTGAGCAAGTAGCATAAAATGTTCGAACGCTTATTAAAACCAAGAAAAAACTTCAAAAAAGAATTTTTTGGTGAGAGGTTGGGGCGCTATTAAGGACTTTTTAATTAAGGGGTTAATGTCACAAGCCAGGAGATAGCAAACGTAGTGTTTTTTTGAAGGACTTTTTTTTTACAAATGAAGTCGCATATTAAAATGCTCCATTCTTTGGTGAAAATTTTGCTGAAATATCATGATATCTGGTTTACTTCAGCTGCATAGCATCATAGCTTTGTATCTGGTTTATTGATGGCTAGTGTTTACACTTGTTAACAATTGTCAAGAGACCATGGTGCCGATGCCAGGCTGCGTGACTCTCAATCTTGAGACCGGGAGTTCGATTTTAGCACATCGTGAAGCACATTTATCAGTTTTTATATTTTTTCTTGTAGAGAGATAATATAAACAAGGCCAAACAGTGAGCAATCAGATTGCAGCTCAGAAACTGACTGCCCAAACAGAGAAAATTATTTGCCATTTTAATCAATTGAAATTAAGCGCCGATTTTCAATCAATCATTTTTTTTCAATTTGACATTTGCAGTTTGTGAAAAGGTTACTTAAACGTGCAAGAGTTAAATCATTCAGGTAAGATCTACTAACATCAACAGAATCATTTACTGTAAAGTGAAAGCAATAGTTTTATACAAGTAAGGCAAATTGAACTCAAACAAAGCTGGACGTACCTGCGCCAACCATCGTATTTCTGCCCTTGAAAGTCGACGAAAAATTTCTTGGGTTAAAAAATGTTAAAACTAGTGGAAAGAGTTTTGATTTTTTTCCTCTTTCATGTTATTTTTTTTCATTTCTGTCCCGCGCATGATACATGAAGTACAATGTGTCCTTTTTTGTGTCTGGTAATGTAATAATAAGAAAAAATTGCGTGCCTGAGATCAATTTTGAATGATTTAAGTTGCGGATCAAACTTTAATAGAACGAAATATATTGCGCACTACTTGTCTCATTTAGAATTATATTCGTCAAAGAAGTTTTCCCTATAATTCAAAGCCCTATAACTTGACGAAAAAAACCACAATTGAAATATCTGTTTGTTTGAGCCGTGAACAGTAATATTTTTCATACTGTATAAATTGCCGTCGAAAGTTGTTAGTTAACAAGTCGAAATTGTCCGGAGAAAAAACACCCGAGCACAAATAATCAGTAACTTTTTTCAATATTCAAAAACAACTGCAAGTAATTGCATTTAATAGAGAAAATAAAAATGGTTATATTTATTATTGTACAAAAACGTTACACAACAGGTTTTTCGGAAGTTTCGGAAGTTTACAACAAAACGTATAATCTAAATATCGTATTTACTGTCCTGTTCAATAAGTTTTTGACAATCGGTAATTTTAAAACGGATCAAGACTGCTCGTATAACTACAATTGAATTATTATAACAACCAGTCTGGATGATTCGACTGCCCTTTCATCTGAAGAAAAACGCTTCAAAGAATCGATCACATAATTGAGAAAAATGGAAATCTTGAATGTTTTTTCTTTCATTTTTGTCTTCCTGTCCGCCTGCTATATAAAATACTGAGGGATGCTTGTAGCGCCTCGTATCTTTGCAACATGACCAAATTGCTGACCTCAATACAATTTGAAATGATTTAGTTTTACGCGAGTTATAAGAAGGTAACTTATCGCCCATTAACTGTTCCAAATTAACAATTTTCAAACCCCCTTAACTTGAAAAAAAAATCACAGGTGTATTTTTTTTTAAAATTTGAGCCCAGGAGAAAAATATGTTTCAGATGCTTGGAAAAATTTCATCAAAAACGTTTAGTTAAAAGTTGATATTCGACTGAGCAAAAAACCACCCATGAGTAAATATTCCGCCTCTTTCTTAGAAAGTCGGAACAAAAATACCAACACGATTGTGTGATAGGAATTAAATTTCTCCAAAAATTAGTTGAAGTGTTATGTATAATTTTGGCCATTTTTTTCAGAAATAGTTCAAGTGACCACAACGCACCAAAAATATAACAGGATTAAAAAGTGAATGATTGTAAGGATATCTTTAACTATCCTTCTTTTGCAAAAAAAGGTTAAAGTGCCACACGATTCAATGTTCAATCATTCCTAATCATTGCTTTGGCTCTTTTTGGATATAAAAATACCTTTTTTAGTGCCAATAGAGGGATATTATTCAAGAAATAGAAGTTTTACCCTGAGAATGGCCAAATTTGGAATTTTTGCGACAGCAGGGGTTTTTTTGCGACAGCAGGGGTTTTTTGCTAATAAAGTTGTGGACCTTTTTTCAAACAAGTTTTGAAAATTCTTCCGGACAACTGAAAAGACTGTTATGCAAGTTTTTCAGTAAACCTCCCAATGTCAATTTTTTGGCTAGCGATTTTCCTCAAAATTAATATACATGGCAACATAAGAAAAGTTTTAGTGTCATTCAGTCAAAATGTATATCGCTAAAATTATCATACAAGGGTTCTTTTGGGGTACAAGGAGTACATTAATGCATTGATGAAGCTGGTCGTGTTTTAAAATTGCAGTGCAGTCGCTGCTCTTCTTCTTGCCGTCTATGTTGTGGAGTGCAGTAGCAGACAGCAGCATAGACATCTCCAACATAGTGAGTGTGCTGTCAGAAAAAGACCACGCGATAGACCCGGAGAAGAGGGACGGGGCTGTGAAGAACCTCGCTCTGCAGTTCCACAGATACATCAACAACAGGAAACACTACTCACACACCCACCTCACCCAGGTAGTGCTATTTTTGGATATCTTTAATTATCCCCCTTTGCTAAAGGGAGGGGGAGATAGTCGTTACTAGCTACAAAATTCGCATATGCTTAATCGCTCAATTATTTCATTACAGGGATGAAATCCTCGTAGGCGCCAAAGGGGGGAGGAAATAGTTGAAGAGATCCTCTTTTTTTCATATACAACTGATGATTGGCTCAGCTGTTTGTCCGAGTTCTTAAAAATGAGTATTTATGAACGTGGTTGGCATGTTGGAAATCAAAGTTGCTATAAGACGATTTATCCCCAAGGAAAAGGACCAACATACGAGCTGTTTACGTAGACCACCTGTTGTGACCCCTGGTTAAGAACTGCACGCACTTTTTTGGCTATAATTGTGTTGCTGAAGGTTTCTTCCCGTTTTATGTGGCAACTTTTAGAGTTGTTTTTCAATTGAGCGTTCAGATCCTTTTTATTTTTAAAACGTCCTACTTGATTTATATGTGACATGTGAGTGTATTTTTTTCAGGTGCGTCGCAAGCTGCGAGATACAAACAGTTTCTGCCTTTCATGTGGAAGTAGATACGGCAACTACCTCGGTCTAATCTACCTGTTGTCCAAAGTGCTATTTGTGTTCAACGCCTGGGCACAACTCTTCTGTCTGGATTCCTTCTTGGGTCCCAGGTTCCACGCGTACGGGTTCGAAGTGCTGAGTAGCATGTACAATGGAGTGGACTGGACCAACAGCAAACGGTTCCCCAGAACCACATTGTGCGACTTCACTGTAAGTTCAAATGCATATATACTGTAAATGGATAAGTACTACATGTAAGCAAGAAGGATGTCGAATTGCAGCGAAAGTGGTATGGAATTTGCTAGCAATAATCTGGTTGCTAGTTCAAAGTTAGCATGTGTGCCTCAATTTGCAAGGTGAGCTCTTGCTAGTAGGTCACAGCTTAGTTAAGCTGAAATAAATTACATTCGAGTTAGACCTCTGGCTGCTTAACTAAAAATTTAAAAAATGAAGAAAATCACTGAAAATATAATTCAGCTATTTATGTTCCAGATTAAAGTATGGCAAATCTTAGCATAGTTCCGACTGATATTGTGTTTTCTGTATAAAATGTTAGCCGTTTTTACACTTGCGAAGCTAGTGTATTAGTACGAACCTTCTTTTTTTCCAACCTAAGTCGCAAATTTTGGTGCGGCACCTCAATAATGGTGGGGCATCTATACAGCTTTTTGATAGCATGTGCTTTGACATTCGAATCGTAATAAACTGACACAGTTGATGCATTTTTAATTCATCAAATGAACCGAAAAAAATTAATTGTTTCAAACAAAATCAATAATAAAAACTCGATTTCAGAAATTTTCTAGCTCAATATATCTAGCGATTTTTTGAAATGCATAATTTATACATAATGTGACTTTATGAACTAACCTAATTTGAAAAAACTATATTTCGTAGATTTTCAAAGACTATGCTCGGTACATTCTGTTCTACTTGCACAGTAACCGGCTATCCTTGTTTAAATTGAAGTTAATTCAAGCAAAACGTTTTTTTTTGGCCTAATACTTTCTAGTTAGTTTTTGACTTCGTTTCCCATTGATTTTCAACGTTCAAATAGGTGTGTTCTTATGTTTTTGATGTAACTTCGCAAAAAATATGCTCTCCCGTTCAGATTTTTTTTATGCATAGTAAATTGCTTCAAAGATGTGTAACAATTTTTTGCATTTTTTTTGAATGATTTTCTAGCTTACACAGAAACACTGATTTTTTTTTTGGAATCCTGCAGCTAGAATTGACTGGCTATTGAAACATTTTTAACATAAAATCTTTACACTTGCGAGTAAAGATTTTCCCGATGACATCTATCTGACAGATCTTACTTCATTTTCTGACTCGTTGTTTCAATAAGCCGTACTAATTTTCAGGTTAGTTCCCACTTGGCCTTGAGGTAATGTGGTCGCTTGTTCACCTCAAGGTCTGGAATACCTTTTCTTAATTGTTGATGCAACTGGAACTTTTTCGGTTAAAATTAATTTATTGGACTTTCGCAACAATTACTACTCGAGATGCAACAATTACCACTCGAGATGCAACAATTACCACTCGAGATGAAAAAAAAAAAACATGAAATATAAATGAAACAATTATGACTCTAGATGAAACAAAGATGAAACATATTATGAAACAAAAGTTGGATCAATGATGAAAAAGCTTACAATTTATGAATTGCTGCTTAAAGCATCATCTAAATTAATTGAGTCTAGCAAGTGTTGAGTTAAAATCGAGACCGAAACTTCTTGAGTACTGAGAAAGATTTAATGTAGAACAACTTCTGTAGAAGTTTGTTTTCCAGAAAAGGAAGAAGTGGCTATTTTTTTCTTTTTTCGTTCCTGGAAAACAGCAGGCTGCTGTTGTAGCCATTTCTTGTATGGGGGTTGATTGGACGCACGCTGACAAAATCGTTTTCCTCTATACTGACCATGTCCAGGTTCGTTCATAAAAGCTTGACAATCCGAGTACGTGTATTTTTTCACAACTTTTGTGACTTGAGGGTCACTTTCATTAGCCGATTTTGCTAACGCTTTCTGTATCCGTTATTTTTTTGTTCGTGAATCGCGTGCAAAGTTTTTCGTTTTTGCTTGTCCTAATGTGTCGGTTGGCTCATTTATGACGGAAATGTTTATTGGTGGCACGGTTTTTGGAGGTTTCATGGGCTGAAGTGCCGCTATAGTTGATGGTTTTGGTGGCGGAACAGTTGGAAATTTCTCACTTGCTTGTTTCATCTTCTCTAGACTTATCTTTAAATCATAGCTGAACTGTTCTAAGGTTCACATTGATTAGACTGAGTTAAGCTTTCAGGAGCTTAAGTTCAGAACCGTTTGTCCCATAGCCACATAGTCATTAATTATAAATTTGTATCGAGATACAAGCTTACGGGCCCCGCTTTTTGCGTTTTGGATGGGAATGGGATGCCTTAAAAGAAGTATACAAAAAATATTGCCGACATCGTTCACCTTCATTTGTGATCTAACCCATTGTGTCCTGAACGATTCATTACAAATCACGTTGTTGCACTTGATTTTGATGAATATTGATGATACCGAATTGATTTTTTATCGCATTCTTCGAGCGCGTTGTAGAAGTCCATGATCAATCAGTTTTGCTTAAAAATCGGTAAAGCAAAGTTTGTTTCTAGCAACGTCTGTAAAATAGCGAGACCGCTTCTCGACTTTTCCCCATCATGGTGTGCCCCTTTGATTGTTGTATTTATCCAATTTGTCACCTGAAAAATTGTTCTACGTCATCTTCGTTTAGTTGAGGCAGTGCTTGGGCTAGCAAATTGTCAGTTGATTCGACTTCTTGGAAGCTTTCGCTTTCTTTTGCTATTGAAACATTAACTTTTTTTAACTTCTGATTTACTTTGTTTTTCTTTGCGCTTGACCATGATTGTTTGAGCAAGAAGTACTCTACACCAAATAGCTCTCCATTGAATTTGTTTGGGCTTTCAACCCTGGTACTGCCTTCGAACACAGTAGTCGAGGCTATACGAACTTTTGCTAGCCAAATCACATCCGAAGTTATAAAGTTAAGTTTCTGGAAAACAGCAGCAGCCCGATCGTTGTTCCACCGAACGGCTCGTCTATGAGTAATGTTTGCATATTTACGGCAATCCTAGAGTTACTTGGTATCATCTAGTTGATATGGAGACGGAAGCTTTCTAGCGAATTTGAACCTCTCGCACACCTGTAGGTAGGAAGCTGCGTGTCGTCCTTTTGCAGTGTTCGCACTATCCATACAGCTATCAGGGTCACTAATGCTATTGCACTGTCGCACGTGGTCTTTCCAAGTTGCATTGATTTCAGGACGTAGAAGCGGAGGATCTAATACGTTTTTCACGCTTATGAAAATTTCCAATAGGTGTGATATGACTGCTTTCCTTTCCTCTGGATTCCTATGAGGTTGTCGGCAGTGTCGGGCCGTTTGTTTTTTTTTCTCGTCACATGCTTCTCCGGGTCGTAGTTTTTCGCACGTTTCTTCCGCCTTTCTGTACAAACTCTTCCTTCTTCTTTTCATAGAGTGCATCCAGATCGGGTCTCACTCGTAAGTCGCAAATTATAAGCTCGCCATGAAGCACCCATGTAGTTGGTGGCTTTCAGTGATACATCCACTTGCAATTCTACGCATGAAATGGTAGATGTCTATTCTTACCTTGAGATTAGGCTAATTTGAGAACAATCGTTTGATGAAGCTTGGCATGTTGGTTGATGTACAGCATCCTCAGTCAACATACAAGACTCTAAATGACTCTATTTTGGACTTCTGGTATCTCTGAGTCAATTTTTTTGTCATTTTCTTGAAGCCTTTTAGTCGATTCCGATTCAGTAAAGACTCAAATTTGTACCTGTCGGTGTTCATTTCCGACATTAGTAACCCACGAAGCTGATTGCTTGAGTTATCCGCTGAGCTTTTTTGCGATTTGTCTTAGTTGAATCCATCTTCAAAATTTGTCCGTAGAGATACACTTTTCAAACCTGAACACTGATAAACACCGATGGGATTGTTAGCCTTCATACTGGCCCAGATACTATAAGTGTCTATTCAGGGAGCCTTCGTTATGGTAATCTTCGTTTCTCGTCATAACGCTCGCACATGAGTCCCAAGTGTTCGATTTTGCTTTGCATTTACAATTGATTGTCACATGCAAATTTATATGTCTGTATGCAAGGAAATTGGTCTGCCACCTGGTCTGCTAGCAAGGAAATCAATGGTCTCATGTCTGGAAAGTTCCTGTGCAATCGGTGCACTGGAAGTTGACGACACTTTTTTCGTCGGGATGCTGTGATTCGGCAATTGCGTCTCGTTGGCTCCATGTTCATAGAAATTGGAATTTCATTTGACATAGCGCATTTTTGATTTTTTTAACATCAGCGGCAGCCCACGTCAATGGCCGAGGAGCTTTTCCTCTAGTACAAGGCAAGTTTTTGTAGATCTGCCTTTCGATTTAGCGTTAAATGGCATTGTTGTTAACTTTGAATTTTGAGCTCATCCTGCTTATTACCTGTTTAGATCAATTTATAGTTTTTCCCTGATTAGGCAAGGCTTTTTGCTTTCCTTTTTCAATAATTTTTTGTCAGGTTTCTACTTTTGTTCAGAATTCCAGAATAGTTGGAGTTTTTGTAGAATTTTGGAGTTTTTGTACAATTGGTTGATCTTATCCAATACAAAACTCAAATTCGAAACTGAATTTGTTAAAAATTAGGACCTTGAAAAGATATTTAACTCTTTTCGCTTTGTGTCATCCGCAATGATGTGATTTGATATCTTAAAGCAACATTTCATTAAGCTCGGCGGATCAAAAACCATGTTTTTCTGATGTTTTCTAAAAGCCTTTTTTGATATTTTCTGTTGTAAAACTGAACAACATTGAGTCTTTTCTGGCTTTTTATTATGAAATTAGTTCTTTTCTTTTTTTTTGTGGCATTTTCAGTTATTTATTCAGGTTAAAAGCTTTCAAATGGTGTAGAACAACTTCCATTTCAATCAAAATAAGTGTGGATTTTAAAAGAAATGGTAGTAAAATCGTAATAAGAGACAAATCAAAAGTAAAAGAATTTTCTGCGAATTGCATTATTCTGATTGCAGAACAACATTAATGAATACAGCAAACCTTAGTCAGATATTTTTTTCTCCCCCTTTCTCTCTTTTCCCTTTCTTCTAAAACAGAGAAGTTCTTACCCCGGCCTATGTGCAGGTGCTATTCTTATCTTCTCTGTATCGTTTCAGTTTCAGTACATGTGCTGCAAGTGTTGTTCATCGTAATTTCAGGAGTATAGTTTACAAATTTAATTTATTACGAATACAATTTTTTTTGCTACTCAAACGGTGTCTGCTTTAAAATTGTCGCTCAAGTGCTCAATAAAACCTTGGCTTTCCGAAACGTGTATCTTCTCACAGCTTTCTTGACTTGAGGTGTCACTTCAATTGGCAGCTTTTTCTAGCGCTTTCTCTATCTACCATTTGGTTGTTGGTGACATGTGTGCAAAGTTTTTCGTTTTTGCTTACCCTGCCGTGTCGGTTGGCTCATTTATGACGGAAATGATTACTGGTGGCACGGTTTTTGGAGGTTCCATGGGCTGAAGTGCCGCTATAGTTGATGGTTTTGGTGGCGGAACAGTTGGAAATTTCTCACTTGCTTGTTTCATCTTCTCTAGACTTATCTTCAAATCATAGCTGAACTGTTCTAAGGTTCACATTGATTAGACTGAGTTAAGCTTTCAGGAGCTTAATTTCAGAACCGTTTGTCCCATAGCCACATAGTCATTAATTATAAATTTGTATCGAGATACAAGCTTACGGGCCCCGCTTTTTGCGTTTTGGATGGGAATGGGATGCCTTAAAAGAAGTATAAGAAAAAATCCACGGTCACTGGTGACTTTGAGGGAAATTGGGCTGGAAACTCGGCTGACATAAAACACCTACATATGTGATCTAGTCTAATGTGTCCTGAACGAGTCCTTCCAAAGCGTCTTGTTGAACTTGATTTTGATGTAGATTGACGATATTGCATAGGGCTATTATCGTATTCGTCGAGCGCGGTGTAGAATCCATGATCAGTTTCGCTTCCAAATCGGTGAAGCAAAGTTTGTTTCTATCAACGTCTGCAAGATAGTGAGACAGCTTCTGGACTTTGTCCCATGCTGGTATGCCTCTTCGATAGAAACATATCTCCAGTTTGTCATCTGAAAAAGACTTTACGTCATCTTAATTTAGTTGAGGCAGTGCTTGGGGTAGAAAAATGTCTTTTGCTTCGACTTTTTGGGTTCCGTCTTGGAGTAATGATTGCATACTTACGGCATTCATAGAGTTACTTGGTATCATCTGGTTGATATTGAGATATGAAGCTTTCGAACGAGTTTTAATCTCTCGCACACCTGTAGACAGGAAGATGCGTGTCGCTTTTTTGTAGTGTTCGCACCATGCGATACAATTATCAGGGTCACCAATGCAATTGCAATGTGGAACTTGATCTTTTCAAACTCCATCGATTTCAGGAAATAGAAGCGGAGGTTTTAATGAGCCTTTTGCGGTTTTGAAAGTTTCTAATAGCTGTGATATGAGCGCTTTCATTTCCTCTGAAATAATAGTAGTGCGTCGGCTGTGTCGCGCCATTTCTTGTTTTTCCTATGCTCTTTGGGTCGTAGTTTTTCAAGTTTTTTCCGCCACTCTGTTTAAACTGTTCCATCTTCGCTTTATAGAGGGCATCCAGATCGCTCCCACTCTTAAATCGAGAATCATAAGCTCGCCCTGAAGCACCCATATAGTTCATGGTTTCCAGTGGTACATCCACTTGCAATCCTACCCATGAAATGGTAGATGTCCTTTTTTACCACGAGGTTAGGCCAGTTTGAGAAAAATTGACTGATGGAGCTTGGCCTGTTGGTTGACGTACATCATTCTCGGTCCTTATACAAGAATTTTAGTGGCTCTAATTTGGCCTTCTCTTATCTCTGAGTCATTTTTAGCCCGTTCTTGCAGCCCTTCCGTCGATTCCGATTCAGTAGGGACTGAAACTAGTACATGTCAGTGTTCATTTTCGATGTTAGTAATCCACGCAGCTGATTGCTTGAATTTCCCGCTCAGCTTTTTTGCAAGTTTTTCAATGTAGATATCAGTTGGTTTCCTTTTCAAAACTAGAGGCAGATACGCACTTCGAACGTTTATCGCGAAAAGCCATTTAGGACTACCAATCATTTGAAGAGGAGGCGGTGGTCTGCACTCGGCGGCGTCTAAAGGAAGTCCTTTTCGATGGGATTGTTTGCCTTTCTATTCGCCCAGATACTATAAGTGTCGATTTAGGGAGCCTTTGTTATGATTATCTTCGATTCTCCTCAACGCTCGCACTTGAGTCTCAAGTGTTCGAGTTTGCGTTGCAATGACAATTGATTTGTCACATGCAATTTTATGTGATAGTTTGCAGGGAAAACGAGCTGTCACCTGGCTTGCTAGCAGGGAATCAATGGTCTCATGTCTGGAAAGTTTCTGTGCAATCGGTGCACTCAAGGTAGTCAATAGCTAGGTAGCAAGCGCTTTTCAGGTCTAGCAGTCCTCACTGTATTATAGCGCTTTTCTTGTTTGTTTCTTGTGACATCTTGGTCACTTCAACAGCACCTGCCCCATTTAGTAAGACGAAAAAACGCCTGCCCATATAGTACTCTGGCTGGAAAATACCCCGGTTACTCGACTGAGCTGGGTACCACCACAAAATAATCCAGCTGACGAGTTTTTTCACGAGTGAATAGCAATTTTCCCATCCATTTTTGATTTATAAGGCCAATACTGTCAAGCCAACATTTTAATGGAAAATTGCGCAAGCTATTGCTCAGTTTAGAGTTTTTCGGGTTGCAGGATCGTCGGGTTGCTTACTTCCTACGGCGATGTAAGGAACGAGTTGCTTACTTATAGCGGATGTGGAAGTTGGCGACACTTTTTTGGTCGGGATGTTGTGATTCGGCAATTGCTTCTTGTTGGCTCCATGTTCATAGAAGTTGTAATTCTGTACTGTCCGCAATGATGTGATTTGAAAAATTTTAGAATCATTTCATTAAGCTCGGCCAGATCAAAAACCACGATATTGAGTCTTTTTGGCTTTTTTTTTTCGAAATTTGTTCTTTTCTTACTCTTTTGGCATTTTGAGTGATTTTTTCAGGTTAATAGCTTTCAAATTATGTGAATTACGTTTCATTTCAATCAAAATAAGTATGGATTTTTACTTGAAAAGGGAGTGAATTCTAAAGAAGAGACTAGTTAAACGTTTTAAATTTTTTTGCGAATATCATTATTCTAACCGCAGAACATAATGAATGAATACAGCAAGCCAGGGGCCATGCTAATCTACTCTGTATTATTTCAGTTTCAGTATATTTTGTGCAAGTGTTGTCCATTGTAGTTTCAGGGGGATTGGAATTTTTTTTACAAACAAAAAATCTTTTTTGTTAGGCTCAACTGTTTTCTGCTCAAAATTTGTCGGCTTTCTGATGCAACGTAAGTTTTGTTCAGTTGTTAATTTGATATTCAATTGTTTTGTTTGGCATGTGAATGGTTTGGTACATGCGTACGACGTGTGAGCGCTTTGGTAGACCTAGTTTTTTGTCAACATTTTTCTTCTTTTTTATTCAATTTTTGTTCAAATTTACTTTTTTTGTTTATTGTTCCGATTTTCGATACGAAAGTAGCGGAATATTTGTGCTCGGGGTGGGTTTTTTTTCTTCAGACAAATTTCGACTTTTTAACTAGCCATTTTTGACGGAATTTTTTTGTATCATTCGTAAGGTATTGTTGTCCTGAGCTCAAATTTGAAAAGATATTTCACATTTTTCGTAAAGTTATGGGGCTTTAAAGATTGCTACTTTGGCCATTTTGACCAATTTGGGACAATTAACGCGCGATATAATTCGCGCTATTAACGCGTGAGCGGAGATTTAATCCGTCTTAGAAATTGTTCCAAATTGGTTAAAAGAAGCTTATTCGCCATAACTGGTTTGTTACAAGGAGCAAAATCTATCCTTTTGTATTTTGTATGGCGTGTGGGGGGATGGGGATGATTTTCATAAAAAATTTCAATTTTTAGAAGAAAAAAAATTGTTCATTTTATTTTTTCTTACATTTAATTTTTTAATGTTATTACTGCTCCATAAACTTTAAAAGGCAGTCGGAACATTCAGGGCTTCACCCTGATACGAGCAGTCTTGTTTATGTTTGTGTTGTATCGATCGCAAGTGATGCGAAGCTCCGCTTCACCTGTGTAATTTTTTTCTTTCCAATCAATTTGTCTGTTGTTTTTTATTGTTCGTTTGTGAATGTTTGCTTGAGATTTTCGATGTTGTTGTGTAGGTGAGGAAGATGGGGACGATCCAGCCAGTGACTGTGCAGTGTGTGTTGAGTATCAATCTGTTCAACGAGAGGATCTTCCTCTTCGTCTGGTTCCTCCTCATGTTCATGGCACTCCTCAACTCCTTCAACTTCGCCCTCTGGCTGTGGCGCCTTGTGCTCCGCAGAAACAGATATGCATACATCCGGAAACACTTGACTCTCATGGACCAGATGAACACTGCACACAACATCGTGAGTGGAGTTCGCTCGTACCTAATGTTATTTTGTTGACTAGAATCAGCTTTTTATGTAAAATGAAAAAAAAAACACGAGATGGTAAACTGAAAGATTAGACTTTTGGGCCCTTAGATAAGTTCAAGAGTTGGTTTGAAATTGGTCATGTTGAAATGGTGCCACAGACATTATAAAAGACATTATGGTCAGCGCAGCAATCAAATTTGTCGACAGTATATGCTTAATACTTGCCCCTGTAAATAGGCAATACTTGTCCACAGTTACAAACTATTGGCATTAAAATGATCAAAAGCAAAGAAAATGATTGGTGTCAGCATTTACTTAATTATGATGCTCTTCAGAGACACGTGGTGCCTTTCATGGACGACTACCTGCAGCACGACGGAGTGTTCGTCATCCGACTCATAAGCAAGAACACGACTTCACTCGTCGTCTCGGAGATGTTGGCCGCCCTATTCCACAACTTCCAAAACCAACAGAGCAAAGACAAGGACAAGTCTGATGAACAATCCCAGCCTTGTAAGTGAGCTACAAGATGTTAGATCTCATTTTGAGTTTGATATTTTTAGTCTGAAGGATATACAATATCAGTATATAACTCTAAAACATCACGCATGAACCCTAAGACTCTTCAAGGTGAGATCCGGGACTCATGAGTACTCACTGATAGTTATGGATTTCTCGAAAAAGTTACTAAATGTAACGTATCGATTGTTACTTAAAAAAGAACATAGATTCTCACGAACTCATTAAGAAAACTGTTAACATTTAACGTTGGGATATTTTTTCTTGATACAGCGATTTCATCCAAAGGCTCCAGATCCGGTCTGAGTAGTCGCAGGAGCTCGCTGCAAAAGTTGCTGCCTCCCTCTCGCAAAGGCTCAATGCCGCCTTCTTATGCATCGGCCGGAGGATTCAGCAGCAGTCGAGCCCACCACGCACTCACGAACAAAATGGCCGAAGGACTAATGGACGATTTAGATGATGTACATAGTGGAGTTTCATCTGAACCAGAAAAACATCATTTTCCGAGGGGGGACCTGGACCACATCTCTCCTGATGAGTTGGCATCGATTAGGCGGTTTTTGAAGCAACAGGACAAGCTTCTGCAGCAAAACCAGGGTGGGGAAGGGGTGCCTAGACACCACCCCAGTGCACCCCCAGTGAGTAGTGCAATGGCGAATAACTACTCGGTCGCCCCTACTATGACTCATAATCACGGCTACGCGATGTTCTCTTCGCCCCATGACGAGGCGTCTCAATTTGACCTTGACAATCACCCGAAGGCTCTTGAGGCAAGGGGGGAGTCTAGTCATTGCTAGGTTACCCGATGCGAGTTTCTGGATATTCTAGACTGATTTGACAAGTTGTCAGACCAGTTGCGTTAGACTTTATAGACAAAGTCTTGATTTCCATCCGAACATATTAAACGTCACAATGCCAAAGTAGTTAATGCCTTGTATTCATTCCATCAGCGCTGTGATTCCTCGCCAATAGTAGAAAACTTCTCAATTAGGATGCCAAAATATTGTATTGTCTGCTCAAGCTTACATGCATTTCTTTTGCAGTAGTTTTCAGTCAGTTATGTTTTTTCACTGTTATACTTTAATAAATTAGCGTTCAAGTTAATCATTTCATGTCGAACGGTGGGAATGCAGATATCCAGTTTAAAACGTCCATTTTTTATTATAAAAAACTATCCATGTTATACGGAGATTGGTTTCAGTGCCAAGATTTTTTGATTTTTGTTATCATTGTTTTTTGAAAACCTTTCCCCCACTGGTATTTAACTATGCAGTTTATAAAGAATTCAAAAGCTCTCTCGCTGTTTTGTGTTGCTTCACTTTTGGCTTCGCTTCAGTCTCATCCAATGCTTTTCGGGTGCTTATTTTTTCCTTCCTTATTCAAGTGTTAATTATTTGGGCATTCATTTCTCAACAAGTGCATTCGAATTTAGTCTAGTTTTGTGTCTCATTACTCATTATCTTTTTTTGCTGTTTTCTTCGTGTGCTAAACTCAGGGCTATTCAAAAATTGATGGCCATTATTGATACACTATTAATGACCATCAAAAACACATGCAGTAATGGATTTTTGGCATTTATAGCAGAATGGCATTAATTTTTTTTTCGGAAAAATAATACCATTTCCCCCATTTCAAACAAACAAGGGCTATGCCGTGCCAACTTAGGCAAACGGAAGTGAATCTGTCCGAAAACCACGTTGACCTTTTTGCTATCGATTATCTTTTCAAAATTCTACTTAAATCCATGATTAAAAGTTGGTTGATGGAAGTTAAATTGAGTAGGCGTGAAAATCTGGATTATTAGTTTGGTCTTGAGGTTTTTTTTGTTCAAGATCTTCATTTCAAAAAATAAAACTTTTTTTGTCTATGTTGGCATCGAAAACAATAATAGTTTTTTAAATTTACCTACCCTAATACAGTAATGAGTTTTTTCGTTCAGTTTTTTTTTGAGGCATATTCCTTAAAAATTGCAATATAACTGATATCAATTGTATTTCTTCGTTACAAGATTAATAACTTAAGATTCGAGAAGTAGGACGTAATTTTTGTTGTATTATTTTTCAGATAGATAAAATTTTCACTTCATTACTCATGCCATGTGTATGTTCTGCTTATACATTCAGAACTCAGAGCCACCAGAACTTCTCTATTGTCAACCACCGGTCAAACTTACTTTATCGAAAGACTAAGAATAGTTCCAATGACATAATTAAGAGTATACCTACTGACTTGATTGTTAGACAAATATGAGTGGTTGTTTGGTGGCGCTTGAAAAGGCTTGACGCTATCAGGGTTCTTTGCTCATAATTTCACTTTTTGTCTTCTAATTCCTATTGAATCAACCCTAGTTTCAATCCATTTGGTGGAATATTCACGGATATTTCTTATGATATTGTTATTAAACATTAAAATGTTGTTGTTGTTTTTAAATTTGTTCGTGTTGTGATGTACCGTTGTGTTTTATCCCTACGAGGGTTATGAATAAAACGTGGAGTGTACTTGGTTTTCCATAAGAATTTGAAAGTGTTCTCAGAATACAAGGATAGCCGGCTCAGCTCCTCAACAGGAGCACAAAATGTTTTCACCACAGTAATTTAAAAAAGCAACAAAATTCATCCGAAGAGGTGGGTTGGTTAACTTGGTTATAAAATCAAAAGAACTAGATATGAAGTTAGTTCTTTCATTCATCGATTTTTCCGTCACGATTTTTCCGCTCATTCATTCATCGATTTTTTCGTCACAATTTTTTGAGTTTTTTGAAATAGAGTCAAGACGAGCAGTTAGGCGAAAAAAAACCAAGCCACTTCATAGTTACTTGCCGTTACTTCGTGACGTGGTCAGAAAAATGAACTCTTATCCAAAATCCAATTAATAGGCAGGCATCTAATTTTCTGCTTCATATATTATTTAATTTTTGAAATTATCAGAATTTCATTTTTTTGTTTTCTAGTATTACAAAAACGTTATTATAAAAACTGTTTTTCGCTTAAATATAAGTATGATTGCGATTAGCAAGCGTTATCAAATCGGAATAAAGACTATTTTTTTCGTGTTAACAACTTGCTTAACAGAATAACTTGTTCATAATTAATTCAAACTTTTGTGCTTGTACGGAACTTAGCCTGCAGGTGAAGAATACGCCTGGGATGGCAAAAGTCGAGGGTTCGAATCTGACCAGGAACTGTTTTTTTTTCATGTTGGAAATTTGTCTTTCCAAAAATTGTCAGCCTATACTTTGCCTGCTTGTGTTTTGTCAGCTTAGTTGTATTCAAGGTAGTTTTCAAGGTAGTTGCTTTTAATGTTTTGAATTATTCTTGCCAATTTTAATTTTACTAGCCTTGACTTGGTTTATTTTGCTGTTTGTTTTTCGCTCAAAAACTATATTCAACTTAAATGATTAAGATTTATATTTATTGGGTCAGTGACCTAGTTTGGGGTCACTTTAAATAAAGTATAAGTTTTAAGCTTCATTCTCGATCGCACAAATTGCTAAAACTTTTTAAAATAAACTTATACTTCAAAGGTTTTCAAACAATTATATTTTAGGTTCAAAGGGAAGTTTTTTAAGGTTCGTCGGCTCAGTTGCCCCTGGTTAATTGTCTTTTAATTCTCATTAATTGTCGTCGATTGTGTTTTAGAACCTTTTTTCCGCAAAGTGAACTTGATTCCAGACAACATCTTCAGTTTTTTAAGTTGTGGGTTTTTGAATTTTTTTAAATTTTTTTTTTGTACTTGGTAGCTTTCTTTTTCTGTCTGCTAGCTTGCACTGCTATTCTTATGTTGTATTGCAAGTGAAGCGAAGCTGCATTACTGTTGCTGCTTTCAAAAAATCAAGACCCATGAGACGAAAAATAAATTTAATTTCACCAGTATTCATTTAAAAGCAATTAGCTAATTACCGTGTAATTTTGAACTGCGCAGGGGCGGATTTAGGGGGAGACGGAGGGGGTGGACGCCTTCTTTAGGGATTTGAATACCTGCCGACCCAAACTTTGTACTGTTTTGAGATATCCACTTTTGGCTGATGGACCCTAAAATTTTTCTAAATGCGCCTGTGGCGCCAATATACACTAATTTTCAAGGGAGGACGCGCGCGCCAAATGAAAACGCAATTTTTTGTGTCAAAATTTTAAAAATTGCATAAAAACGCTTTTTTGGCCTGTTTCTCAAATTTTTGCTTGCGGCGCTGAAAATTTCGCAGAAAATTTCTTCTTCTTCGTGCTTGGGGAGAGCTCGGAAAATCAATTTGATTGACCTAGAAAACAAAAGGTCAACAAAATTTTGAAAATCTGCCCCCCCCCTCCCTCGAGAAAATCCTAGATCCGCCCCTGGAACTGCGTATAACTATTGTATATATTTTGTATAAGTTTTATGGTGAATTGTTTCTTACTATTGGCCCTAAATACGATTTTTCTCATAAAAGCTTGCGATTGGTTTCGTCTTGAAAAATTCAGTTTTTTTTGAGAAAATTCAATGGCTAGCACAAAATTCAATTCAGAAAATTAACAGGAAGTAGAGAGGAAGAAAGAATGAAATACGTTTTTATTTTCAAACAAATAATTTTCGATCAATCAGTGATAAGTTGACAACCCAAAAACTCATTTCTCTGGAAGTTCTGAAACATGGCTGAAACTGTTTGCTTAACAATTAAACTGCCATTCTTTAAACATTTTGATTCGTTATGATGCGTACAGCATAGTTCTGACAATCATAATCAATAAATTCATTAAAAAAATCTAAATTGAAATTAAAGAAACTGAATAAAAAAAATAGCTGAAGCATGACTGCAAATATGCGTAACCTGTCGTGAAATTTCTATAAGTTTTTGATATTTTCTCAGTTGCAACAAGGCTTCCAATTTTGGGAACTGTCGAGATTTGGCCTCTCTATGTGGAGGCTGTGGTGGTTGCACTGCTTGTTTGTTGTTGTGGTTGTTGTTGTTGGGGTTCGAGGGGGTTGCTTTTCATCATGTTGGAGAAGGCCTCGAATGTGATCTGGTCCTCTCCGTCCACTTCCACGTGACCCAGAATGACCTCGAGGTCCTCATTTGTCATGTAATCGGTCAGACGCTCCATCACTCTCCTGCATCAAAAAAGACAAACAGCATTACCATTGTATTCGGCAATAAAAACGAGTATTGAGCGGACTCCCATGATTTGAAATTGTTCAGCTATTTTTTTAAAACTGATCAGTGGCCTCAAATCTGTTAAGTGGTAATAAATATATAACGGTTTGTGAGTGTGTGTGTGGGGGGGCAAGGCTTTTTTCGAGGGTGTGAAGATTTTCAAAAAAATCGTAGAATTATTTTTCGATCTCTGCTATCTGCTATGGATCAAATACTGGTTCTGAGCTGTCCTGGAACGACCAAAAAGACCAATTGTAGTCCAACATATCGTAGCGCCGTAAAAATTTGAGCCAAAGAGGCCGTTGAAATAGTTTTTTTTCGGCTCTCTGATAGGCAAAATATATTGATGCTAGAGGCGCCTTATGAAAAATTTTAGACACATATGCAATAAGCGCCTTATTCTTTTAAATTTCGTAGTTTTTGTTAGCTTGTATATTATTTATTTGTTTTGTTTGTGCTTTCCTGATGTGTTGTTTGGTGATGGTGGGCAGTTGTTGTGTGTTGAACAGCTTCCAAGCCTCTTCTATCTCCTGGTCCAGAGAGGGTCCGTTCATCTGCTTCGCCATCATCTCCAGGAACTCATCAAAGTCAATCTCCCCATTGCCTAAACAAACAGCAATGAACATGGGAGAATTACTCGTGATAGAAGGCTCTAATGTCAAAAAGTTACATTAGCCAATCAGTGGTCATAATAATCAAAAACCTGAAAAAGCATGTGGCAAGTACATCTCAATCATAAACAGTTTAGTTTTTGAGTCCCTCTGCCTAGAGAATAGCCTCTTTTTCTTGCTCGCAACCACAACACATATTCCAAGAAGTTTTTTTGAATCATTTTTTCGTAGTTTATCAGGAAGTTTTTAAAGTCCGCCCCAATGGAGCGTTTCCATGCAAATTTTATCCTCCAACAAACATTCAAATCGGCTTGCAAAAATGAATTGTCGGTACTTTTACCGCTTCACGGCCGATAAAAACTGTGAACTCTTTTGAACTACGACATTTTTGTGACCAACGACCAAACGAACCGGAGGCTTTTGGCGCTAATAAGCTTCAACTTTTCATTTTCGTGCTAATATGCAATGAGATTGATGGGGATCTTGCGTCGAAAATATAACTTGAAATGTTGGAAACGTAAACCACTATCATATGTCCTCTACAGGTGTTATTGCTGTTGGAGGTTTGGTAATTATTACTGATATCGATAATGATGATTATACTGACCGTCCTTGTCGATTTCCTCGATCATCTCCTGCAGTTCATCCTCGGAGGGGTTCTGGCCCAGTTCCCGCATCACTTTGCCCAGCTCATCAGTCGAGACATTCCCATCCCCGTCCTTATCGAAGATCCTAAACACGGCACAACACATTGCATGCATGCACGAACGAACGCCACACACTCATATAACAGAACAAACAAGGCATAGCCAATCAGTCAAGGGAGTTAAATTGATTTCGAAAAAAAACGTTTATTTTTTTGAAAGTGTTTTTTTTTTCGCTGTTAGGGAAAGGGCTCGTCGAAGATCATCGTAATGTATATTCGTAATTAATAGCTTAGATAATCGAAAACAATTTACTTCACCAGAATAAACATCTTAAAGAAATGAGTAACATAACGTAAACTCATTTCTTCATCCATTCCCTGCAATTTATTGGTCTGAGATGAAAAAACTTCAAATGATTTTCCTCGACACAGAAAAAAATTACTAAAATGTTTCACTGTAGCGTGAAACAAAATCATTATGCTAAAAAACTTGATAGGAACGGCATGTTTTTAAGGTAACTGTTTCGGCAAAAACAAAAACAAAACCAGACTCCCTTTGTGAAAATGAAAAACGGTTTTTGATTAAAAAAAAACTCGACTTTCAATGCAATTCGATTTTATACGTAATCATGAGTCAATGTCTATGAAACTGTAAAAATACTATATAAAATGCAAATATGCGAATATGCTTAAAAGCACGGTTTTGTTATCTCCAAAACTTAAGCCTGTCAATGCGATGAAAGTTACAAAAATTACAAAAAACACTACAACTCAAATGAACCTGCTTTGAGACCGTAACACAGCGGTGCTAAGGAATAAATAATAATCATAATAATGTAGTTCCTGTGATTCGCAGAGGAGCTATCAGTCGGCCTTAACAATCCTGTCGAGGATAGTCCATTTGTATTATCTCCCCACACTCCAGACTGTGTTATAAAACTTTGAAATAGTAATATATACAGGACCGAATCTAAGTTTTTCTCGAGGGGGTGGCGGATTATTGTGCGAATCGATGAATCAATGAGTATTTTAATGACGAAGATCACTTTAAAGTTTTGAAGTTGTCAAATAAACTGTCAAAAAACTGCTCAAAACATTCAAACGTAGAGTTTTTCCGGTATCTAATCACTTACAAATTGTTACGTTTTTTTTTTCATTATAAATCTGCTGGAACTTTAAAAATTTAATTTCGATGGTAACTATCCCAGACAATTTATTTGTGAGGTTCTTGTCACTCTGTATGTGGGTTTTTAGATCCTTGTTTCGTTTTTTTTTGCTAACAAGCTTCGAAGCAATTGAAAATTTCAAAATTCACCAAGAAAAATCTGGCAGTCCAGGACTGGTTCTCAGTAAAATAACTAAAAAACCAGCCCTGGAATTTTAAATCAATAGAGGAAACACAGGAAATCCCTACAAGTCACTGTGACATGATTTAAACTTTCTGGCGTAAGCTCAAGGCTATGTTTAATTGTTGGATATGCTACAACTTTGGATCTACGTTGGAATTAAGATGTTCAAATGATTTTGATTATTAAAGTTACATATTAGCTTGAGATAAAAATAAAATACAAATTTGTTCAAAAACGAAAAAAAAAAATTTAGAGCCTGGTGCGATGCATGCAACCATAAAATCATCTGTGAGCCGGATTGACACTTTTCATTCTTCAGAAAAATTGCTAACAATATTTATTCTGAACTTTCAATTTTCAGACTCCTGTAATTTGACGGATACTGACCGCGTGTAAAACTCTTTTCGGCTTTGAGCTAAAGGTTTTAGTATTCTGCAGATGGCATGGACAGTTTTGTCAAACATTGTTAGTTAAAAAGTTAAAAATTGTTAGATAACACGCTGAGCTCAAGAAAAGAGATATGAAGCATTTTAGCAAACAGTCGCTGTATTTTTCTGATGATAGTAATCATAAAAATTCTGTCTGCAAAAAAGTCAGGTAAAATTTGAAACGTTTCTATGAATTAATTGGGTTACTGTCTACTTAAGTTAATTATCAGTTTTATAATGAAATCAAATCAAAGATGAAAAAATTGAGTGGAGAAGATGAGAAAGATGAGAAAAATTTGCAGAAAACTGATTTTGAAAATTTGTATTCCTAATTGATGTAATATGAAACGTTTTTGGCTTATTCTGCAAACTTTGTTTCCCAAATAAGTGAACCTATAGCGAGGAGTTCATTTATGTTTGCGATGACGTGAAGCATCAAAAATCGAGCGCCAATAACTGAAATGTACGCCACGTTATTGTAGATCATTCTTCGGATTTTCATAATAAGGAATAAACCGACAGCAGTTTTAACTTTTGCCGAAATAATTTTTTTAATGATCCCTTAAGGACATCTATTAAGAGGCAATTACCATAGTGGTACCTTGAAATCGTCAGATCGTGTATTCGATCTCATGCCATAGCAATGATAGCGTGTGAGGACGAGCTCTCCTGCCGAAAATTGGCTGCAATAGTGGTACCATGTGAAAGTTCTAGACGCAAAAAAACGGTCTTGAGTAGCAAAAAAAGAGCTTTGCTCAACAAAATAACCCATTCAGGAATGTTGGGAGATAACACAAAAGGACTACCCTCGACAGGAAAAATAAAGGCTGCTGATAGATCCTCTGCAATTCGCAGGAACTACATTATTATTGAATCTTATTGTATCGATTGTAATTGAACTTGAATTCTATTGAATTAGAATTCAACCTGAAATAATGTCCTCATTGAATGTCATCTTTCTTGCTCGTGCCACTGGTCTTGTTTCTAAAATCATGAAGAAGTAGGCTTTGCTCTCATCGTCTTAGCAGATGAAATTGCTTTTCTTGCCGTTTGTGTTCAGTTTCCGTCTGTTGCCTCGTTCCTGATAGTACGACAAGCAACTGAACGCACGCAAAAAGTTCTTTTTTGATGGTTTTCCTTGGTTCGTCTCCATCAGTGAACAGCGCTTCCCATTACTGGACGTGCGACACATGCTACAAACCCTTACATTTGTCGATATAGTTTAGACTCAGAACGTATTCGGTGGCTTTGCTTCAACCAGCAGATATCGTTTCATCTCGGCGATCATTCTGTTGTAGATCTCTCTGCTACCCCGTTCTGATTAGGAGTATTGGGCACTTTAAACTCCTGGAAATCTAGAGAAAGTCTTTTAATCACTTTTGACTGACTAATACTCTACTCAATTGTCAGTATGGAGGCTCTTTGGCCCATCATGTTCAGCCACAAACTCTTGAAACTTCAGTTGAGCATCACTCTTCTTAACCAGGTAATTGACCATGGCCAGCCGACTCAAGACGTCGATGAAGCTCAAGGCATAGCGTATCTCACGCAAGATCGGTACTAAAAATATCTCTGGATGTCATTGAAAACCCGTTGCTCGCTGTTGATGCTCTACTGTAGGTTTTGTTTGACAATGTTGCTTCCTGTATCTTGGAGGAATCATCTTGCAGGACAATTTTTTGAAGTTACGCAAGCTCCTGCTCGTTGACAAGGTGGCCAAGTTGTCGGTGCCACAGCATTGCATCACTGGTCAACCCATTTGTCTTCTTGACTAGAGTCATCGGTTGCCTGAACTTGCTCCTGAAATAAAGCTTACCTCGCTGCTTCACAGGTAGCTGTCCAACATCAACGCCAGTACAATTGAGGTATCTGTGGTAAAGCTGAAGCGCGACCCTCTAGTCACCGCTGAGTACATACTTATCAAGCTCACATTGCAGCTTGTCACAGATAGCACGTCGTAGAAAAAATAGCTCCCCACAGCATCTTGGCAGTGTGTGATATCGACATCCAGTGATCCCCTGTCCGCAATCCTTGGCAACGCGCCGATGATGTTCGCTACAGTTGTCCTTCTGTGCCAGGTTTCAAAGCCAGTAAAAGCAGTCTTCTCGCGCGCCATATGATCAGAGCACCCTGTATCTACAATGAGGTGGTCTTCCTCATTGAAGTTGCTCCTCATTGAAGCTGCTTTGTTCGATTAGCTGCATAGAGAACTTGACAACCCACTGCGATTTCTAGATAAGCAGTCTCTAGACATAATTCTTTATGATACTCTTTTTTGAACATCCATTACTTGACACTATTTTCTTCATTTCCTCAATTTGCATGACTATGTGACCACGTCCAGACCCCTTTCCACATCGAGCCTTGTCCGAGTCATCACAGACAGTCAATCTGTTTATAAGCTCTGAAAACATCTTGGTTTGCTGAAAGTTCCCCTGCATAACAAAATGCTCATTGCCGTAAGCCAGCCCATTGATCACAATAGTTTTGAAGTGTGTCCATCATTTCCTCTCCAATTTTGTTCAACCGAGTCATCAACTCTTGGCTGCGAACAAACCAATCATCGAAATCCTACGCTGATTCCAGACGTAGCTTCACAGGCTGACCTCCTAGACTAGCTAGCGTTAGCTTTTCTACACTGCAAAACTTCTATTGATGCAGCTTCCAGGCTTGCGTCACATCGCCATTGCCGTCTGTTCTCACGCTGTCGTTCTTTATGTACATGAAAATTGGGTTCTTAAGCACAAGACCCATGTGGAGTATCACTGTTTCGATTGTCTTCCTTCTGCTGCACCAACACTGCTTCCACGTGCATCCTGGTGTCATAGGCTGCCTGCTGATCAGGATTGGATTCTCGAAGAGAGTAGGCTCAGCCTCTGGCGAATCATCACGCCTGTTATTCTCCTGAACAGGCGCTTTGTGTGCATCAGCACCACAAAGTTTGTCGACCACGCAAAATTTTGACAGAAATTTAAAACAAGAAAAAATAGAAATCTGGGCTCATAACTTGTTAAGACTCAGAGTTAGAACATCAAGGAATAAAAAGCTGGTAAAGTGTATAAAATGACATGACAAACTAAGCATCACTGAATTATTATTGATCATTTTTTAAATTTGTGTTCACTAGGGGACTGTGTCTCAGTTTAATCAGCTTGGACTAGTTGACCTCCAGCAGATAATTTTGCTTAACTAATCTGTCTGACCTTAGCGATACAAACTCTGCGCCCAGTTTTTGAAGAATCGTTTTTTGTTTCAGCAAAACGAAAGCTACTTTGCGAAAAAAAAATCATAAGAAGAATATTGAAACCAGATTTTCAACAATTTTTAAGCAACCAAATTTTTTCTGTAAAACAAAATCTGGTTAAAAATTTTCTGAAAAAGACTTCAATCGTTCACCATCTTCCACAGATAAGATTTTTATTCACCATTGAATATCCAGAAAAAAAACAGACTTATTTCTACTAGACTTAAAATTGCTCGCTGGTTTTTAAATTTTTTTCCATTTTGTTTTCTTCTTTTTTTTGCTGTAATCGTAGGGGAGCCAAAAGTTTGGAGCTCAGGGCAAACTTTTAGCCACGCATTCTTTGTGTTGCAAGGACAAGTGATATTCGAATCTACAACATTTTAACTTTTGGAAGACAAATTCAAAAGGCAAAAGGTGGAAAAAAAGTTTGATAAATACTAGATAAATTTGATAAAAATTTGATAAACAGCAGATTATATGCAGGCAGCTTTATCTTAATCACTGTATTGAATGGAACAGTATCGTCGCAGTGGCTATTGGTTTTTGATTTAACTATTTTTTTTCTCACATCAGTAACTTAAAAAATTAGTCAAAAAGCTTTAGAGTTGAGAAAATTTTACGTTGACTCACCCAAATTTTTCCATTCCACAGAAAACTCGGCGTGAATTGAAGCCTTCAACCAAAGTAAAAGTATGAAGTATACTCAAGGAAACTTCAAACAGATCTGTTGCTTAAGCGAAGCGTGCAATATTTAGTTACGTTTGGTTAGTTCCAGTTAAAACAAATCAGTAGATTTGTGTCAGTTTGCTGCCGGATTGTACCCAAACTTTTGTAAGGACTCCAAGAAAACAGTAGTTTTAAATTAAGTATGGAATGAACGCTGGATTATGGAGCGAACCCAAAGCAGCCTTTTAGAGAAGCACCAACCGCGTCAACCTAAATTGTCTAAAACTGAAATTTTCTTCGCAATTTGGGTTGATAATATTTGTAGATGCTCTAGACTTAAGCTAGCAAAAAAAACATGAAACAACAAAATTTCGTTCCCCAAACAAGACCCTCTCACTCTTAGGAATTCTTCACTTGATCACCATGTTCTTTCTGTACTATTTGGTGACATCCATTAGTCTGAATAGGGAATTGTTTGAATCGGGAAGTGTTTGATTGCACTCAAAAAAACTCTTCTCCAGTCGTGGGTAAAATTTCTCCAGCATTTAAAAAAAAAATTTATTTGTGTAATATATACAGGACCGAACTTTGAGATTGCAATATATATACAGAACTTTGAAATTGTAATATATACAGGAACAGGACCGAATCTAAGATTTTCTCGAGGGGGTGGCGGATTATGACCACTCCCAGAACACTATACAGACCCAATTTTGACAAAAGGTTCTCCGCCGCAGGGAAATTTTTTGAAAAAAAAAAACAATATCGCGGTTTTTTCGGATCCCCTTCAAAATTAGTATAAATTAGCTCCAAATGCACCTCTTGAAAAATTTGAGGTTTAGTCGGCCGAAAAATTGGATAAAAAAATATCCTTTGATTGGCGAGGGTCGAATCCGCCCGGGTTAAATATATATTAGCTACTCACTTGAATGCCTTGCGGAATTCCTCGATCTGTTCGTCTGTGAGATTCTTCACAGCTGTCTCGCCGTCTAAAAAGGAGTCGGAACAATCTGCGGGTTCAATCAGCCAGGGTCCATAGTAATGGCTCCCACTCCCACCCCCTGTCACTTTGATCACCTTAGTAGTTGTGGCTCCCGAGGAAGCCCCCTGCCCGATAGAGGAGGAGGGGGCGGAGGAGGAAGGGGAGGAGGGAAGTGGCAACCCCCCTTTACTACTGGTACTTGCACCAGCCGTAGCCATACTTATAACCACTCAAACAGTTATGAGATAACTCACCAATTTAAAAAGTAATTAGCTTCCACTTAACTAATGAAGTAAAAAAGTTGAAGATTTACTTAAATGGTAAGTTTAATCAGGAAAGCTACGGTCAGCTGTTTGTAGTGTATAGCGTGGTAGAGTCTTAGCTAAAGATTTGTGATTGAAGGGAGGCGCTTCCTGGCGGACTTTTATTAAGTATGGCTCAACACTAAGACAGTAAGTAACGTAAAATTAAGTTAGCTAGAAAGATTAAGAAAGAAGGAAATGGCGCTACTCCAATCACTCTCAATCAAAAACAGGAACCAGAAACAGAGTCGAGGAGGGCGGTCGCAAAAGGTGAAGGGATAAACAGTAGTGAGAAATTAAGGGATCTTAGAATTCAAGTTTTTGTCTGTGATCGATGAGTTTTTAATAATTCGAAAAATGGGCACAGGTTTTACATATGAAGAAGGTATATGTAGACTAAGTAACAACAATTACGATATCTAAGTAAGAGTCTTAAATAGACAAATTTTTGCAGTTTTATGATTCTGTCACGTACACTTAATGAGATAATTCAGGGAAAAATCGCTTCATCAGCCTTTTTTATGACCAAATGGAGCCACTAAATCATTTTTGAATTGAGAGTTAAAAATTCCAGCAAAATATTCAGTACGAACATTAAATTAATGGCCTGAATGTTTGCAAAATATGAAAATTTAATGCTGTTGTTGTTTGTTTTTAGCTATAGTAAGTTGCACATTAACATTAAAGATTAATTATTGGTACGCGAATGACAGAAAATGGTATAGAGCTGTGAGCACGTTAGCGCCGCTTTCACCATAAAAGTGATTTTATAAAAAACGTATGCTAATGTTGTATTTTGTTTCAGGTGTTTTGCTAGTAATGCTTGGAGAGCAGAATGAAAATTTGAAAGTGTGTTGGTGCTTTATGGCTTGTTTGTTTTGGGCTGCGGGTGAAATATATATTCGATCGAATTCACGGCTTTTTCCTTGCCACAATATGGGCTAAATAAACAGGAGTAAAAGGGATGCAGTAAAATATAATAAAGAGTTGAAAAAAAAAGGTTGGGAGAATGGTTAACCTCGAAGGTGTGTTATACAAATGTATTCTTGCGTGTCATTTGGACAAAGTTAACCAAACAAGAAAAACCATTTTAATCAATAAAGACTAAAAATCCAAATGAAATAAAACTGTAAAAAATGTCGTTTAAATGTAAAAATCTAAAAAAACTCTCTCGTTTGCTAATTATTGGTTCGGTTTAGTGCAATCTTCTGCTCCCTCGGTTTGTTGCGACAATCAGAATATTTGAGAGGGTAAAGATGCAATCACTTTCCACTTTTCGCCTCCGACCGCTAATTTAGCCCTTTTCTTGCTAGGGAAAATGGAAAGAAGTTGCATGGTAAAGTGAGCTCGAAATCCTCAACTACTCTTTAATCATTTTCATTCATCTCTCTTAAGGCCCTTGTCTCATTCCGATTGTCTTTGAGTCCCGGCGATCAAAGCTGAATAGGAAACCTGAATTAAACGTGCTATTTTATTCCTTTTCTTCTACAGCGAGAGATAAGAAGTAAAAAAAATAAAGACAGCATCTTATTGTTAAGTTAAGTTGTTTTTTTTTAAAAAGTTTCCTCAAGGAAAGAAAAAATAAAAAAAAATAAAAATCACAGCAAGAGAAAAGAAATAAAGAAATTAAATAGAGCATCTTGTTGTTAAGTTAAGTTGTTTATTTAAAAAAGGTAACTCAAGGAAAGAAAAAATGAAAAAATAAAAACCACAGCGAGAGAAAAGAAATAAAGAAAACAAAGATTAAATTCGCTGAAAAGCGCGTACGTGTGTCTTCGACATTGTAAATAAAGTTTCGTGAATCTTTTTACTTTGTTGCATTTATTGGGCAGAGTAACTTATGTTTTGTTTTCTTTTAATTTTATCTGCGCAAAGCCAGGTATCGCATTTCACAATTAAACACCAGGAAGAATGATTGGTATAGCATATTAAAACCGTTTTTGCTATTTGTGTCGAAAAAATTACGGAAATTGAAGCCATTTTATTCTCACTAGAATTCATAGATAGAAAAACCAAGGTAGTAACTAATGAATTTTCTGGTGAACGAAAAGCAGTGTGTGAGAAAAGTCGAAAACTGAAAGATCGAAACAAAGTTCACAGGTTTTTGAGGCGGAAATTTCATTTATCAATGTTTTCATTTGGCGTAATTTATCACAGTGGATTTTGCTCTGAAATACCAAAATTTATGGCAGTTCGTTATTCTTTGTTGACTTGTAATCTCCGAAACTTACGGTTATCTTATGTATGAAATGAAACGTTGTCAATCAGCCAGCTACCCAAGACCGATATACCTCAGAACCAAAGCGAGGCAGAAATAATTGTGGTTTTAATCTTCTGTGCTAACGAGTTGGTTTGAGTTGTCAGACAAAACGGATTGACTTAAGGCAAGAAGGGATGAAAGCAAAATCCGCTTAGAATTTTACTCAAATCAAAACGGCTCAATTTGTTTTGCTTACTTTGGGCTCAGAGATTCAAAAAACTTCAAACAAATTTCCCAGTGATGAGGACAACTGGTTTGAAGATTTTGATTTTTCGTCTTGATTCGAACAAATAAAAGCCAGCGAGCACGCTTACATTCGCTGATTTCAATGATTTAAAAGCTCACAAAAGCTTAATTAAAAACGTATAACTTAAAATTACTCGAGTAAGGCTAGTTACGTGGAATCAAAATATCGAAAGTTCAAAAAACTGCAAAAAAAAATTGAGAAAATGTTTCATAATTTTTCTTATGATTTTTTTTGTGTGCTTTTTTAGTCATTTTTCTACAAAAAATGTAATTCGATTTGCTTATTTTAGTATGACTGCCAAATATGCTTAATCTCTAGTGTTTCGTTCTGCTCTTTATTACAGCCACGCCAAAAAAACGACACTAATTTGTAAAAAAAAAATTTGTTGTATTTATGCAAGACTATGGTCGGAATAATCTGTGCTATTTTCACAGTAACCAGCTATCCTTAATTTTGTATAGTAATTGTTAATTGATCCGATAGTTTCAGCTTAAACTTATCGATGAAAGGTGCCAAAGTTAACTGGGTAATTGACCCGATACTTTCAGCGTATTTTTAAAGGACTACACAGAGCCAAAAAATGCCAACTTATAGTGTAAAATTGTAATGCAAGTTTTGCAAAAAATCTAAACTTTTGATTCAAATTTTCCTGCAGTCTAGATTTGATCTAAATTTTTTTTGCTTTTGAGAAAACTTGTAAGACTTTGAGCAACTATTGAAATGTATTTATCTAAAGTTTTTTTATATTAAGTTACTTTAAGCTAAGGCCAGGAAAAACAAAATTTTTAAAATCAATTCTTGGCAAAGTTAGCTGGAATGGGTAATTTTTTTTTATAACTGGCAGCTGTTCTTTCTCTTAAAGCGGTTGGAGCAGTGTGCCAGTTTTGCTGACATATCTAATGCCAGTTTTTTGTTTTGTCTCGCTCTTATGATGCCCGATTAATACCTTCACATATGAAATAAGAGCTGCGGAATTCCAGCAAAGTTTGGACGTTATTCTTAGAAGAGATGGTTATACCTTATTCAAAAACACCTTTTATCTTGATAGTCTGGCTTTTTCTCAAAATAAAACTCTGACCCGCTTATTTGTCTCGGCTTCTTTCTGAATGATTTTCTTAAAATCTGGAAATTGGTCATCATAAATTCAGGTTAGAAAACAAAGACAGATAACGCCCTCTTCCCCTCAGGAGTTTGACCCCCTCACACTAACCTAAGGGTCTCCCTTTATTATTACTGTATGACATCCATTTTCGGCCAACCATCTCTAAAGTTTTTCTGTATTGCCCCCGGCGCCAATAAAAACTAATTTTGAGTAGAAGCATCCGCCAAAAAATGCGGCATTTTTCCGTCAAAACTTTCAAAACAGTGTCCAAAAACAGCGCAGAAAATTTTGTCAAAATAGGATTTTTGTAGTGTTCAGAGAGAACCCAGAAAACCAATTTGTTCCACCTACAAAAAAACCGCAACTTCTTGAAAGTCCCCGCCCGAGAAAATCCTATATACGCCCTGTAGGCAGTAGCGAGTTCAGGGGTTTGGAGAGGGGGGAGGGGGCGGGGGACGGACGCTTTTTTCCTCAGGGATTCGACCCGCTGACTATCCACAAGGTCCCCCCTTTGGTGCTATTTTAGAACCTCCATTTTTGGCTGGCAGACCCTTAAATTTTTTCAAAGGCACCTTTGACGCCAAAAATACTTTTTTGAAGGGGGAGCGCCTTTTTTGGCCCATTTTTCTTTGACCGCAAGAAGGTCTTTTCAGTGATTAAGGAGCGCTCGGAAAATGAATTTGGTCGACCTAAAAAAAAGGTCAACAAAATTTTTGAAAATTTTTTGTAAATCCACCCCCCCCCCCCCCCCCACGAGAAAATCCGAGATCCACCCTGCCTGCGGATAATGCCTAGAAAAATTAACAAACACACAAAAGTGACATGAAAGAAACACGTGAAAGTTGAACTCTCAAAACACAAGCGATTATAGACACTCAAAATAAGAACACAGATTTAGTACCCAACTTACCATAAATAACGGCCTCGTCGAGTAATGTCGTATCTGCAGACATAAAAACAATTTTAGCTTAAGAACTCGGCCTGAACTCTCAGCGCTGTTCTTTACTCATAATTTAGCAATCAAGATAAGTAATCATGATTAATGTATTTTTCAGCCCTTATTTGCAATCAAATCATATGAAATTGGAGTACTGAATCAATAAATCCACCTTTATTTTTTTTTACAATTTGTATCAAAAAATTTAAAATCAGTAAGTTAAATTTGCGTCAAAAAACTTGAATTGATTTTTATAATCATTTTTGGGAGTTAAACCTACGCCAGAAAACAGAAAAAAAGCAATGGGTTCATTCTTTTAGAGAAGGGTTTTGAAAATCAATTTCTACACTTAATTTGCTGTATTTGGAGTAGTTTTTTTAAACAGTTAGTTGCATGATTTAGTTAGTAACACCACATTCTTAAATTCGTTCCGAGTTTCGATGGAATATTTGTGCTCGATGTTTTTCCCAGACCAAATTTGATCACTTAACTAGCCATTTTTGAAAAAAAAAAATTTATTGCCATCTGACAGGTATTGATTTCATAATAGATTTCGTGCTTTTAACACAGGAAAGCTTTCCAAATTGACTTGACGCAAGCTATTTTTATTAATTAAACGTTACAAATCCCTAAATACATCACTTTTCCCACTTTACTAGTCCTTAAGCACTTCACTTTCCTCATCGAACACAAATATTCCGTCGAAACTTGGAATCATCAGGTAGCTTAAAAAAATTCATCGCTATTCTTTTGTTAATTTCTTCAATTTCTAAAAAAGTTAGAGCAAAAATTTTTTCTTATAGGTTACAGGGCAATTGGAGTATTCAAGTCTTCGCCCAAATACGATTTGTTAGTTATTTTAATATGAACTTGAGTAAATTAATTAGAATTTTGTGTTACTTATTGCGTCAATGAACTTAATCTAAAAGTGACGTAAGTTCTTGCAAACAAATTGAGACGGTTGACGCAACTCTTATTTCCCAACATTAATCAAAAATAAGTGAACTTGAGTATTTTTTTTGATTCTGAGCATTTTCGTCATCGAAACTTTCCTAAACCCCAATGAAAACATCGGCTTCCTTAGCTGAAATAAAAAATGCGTGAATAATTAAAACATATCAGCGTGAATAATTAAAGCGGGTGTATAATCCCGTTCTCGGAATCTTATTAATTTATTCGTTAGACAACCTTATTAATCATACTATTCACTCTAATACTAAAAAATGTACGATTCAATATTGGCTGTTTGATGAGGAAAAATGAAGTTCAAAATTTCAAATTTATAGTTAATAAAAAAATTATTACCAACATTTATTCGATTTTAGTTAAAAGCAGTTCATGTTTTTCGAAATTTTTCAAAACTTGTTGCCAAAATTTGTGAAGTTTATGATTTGTAAGATGAAATCAAAAACTCCAAAAACTAACTTCAATTGAGGAAAAACTCAATCAGTTAATGTAAGCCTGCTCACTCGCTCAAAATTAGACAAAAAAATGTAAGCCTGCTCACTCGCTCAAAATTAGAACACTATTTTGTAACTTTTAAATGTCGTTCAAATCACGACTGAAAGGGCTTTAATATGATATATCACTCAACCTAGTCCGATGATTTTTTATAGCAGCTGATTTTGCGAGGGAAAAAACTAAAACACAACCGAAAACAAAGTTCCTCCCCATTTTCAATGGTCGCAACACTAATGGTTGGAAGATGCGAAAAGTATAAAGTCCTATCGAGTTCTGTAAGTCAAGGGAGAAGCATGCAGACTAAGCAGAATGGTCTGAGAGCAGAAAGTGCCTAAGAGCGGCAAAACAACGTTTGTTTTGAATTACATCAGCGAGTTGATAAAACAAGTAATATTATTGGCAATTTTACCAGATGAGTTAATAAATAAGCAATAAATTTCATAAATCTCAGAGAACCTAAAACAAAAACTTTATGAGCTTTTTCGGCGTTATATATATATATATATATATATTGAAATTATTGATAAAATTATTTTTTTTGATTCTGAGCATTTTCGTCATCGAAACTTTCCTAAACCCCAATGAAAACATCGGCTTCCTTAGCTGAAATAAAAAATGCGTGAATAATTAAAACATATCAGCGTGAATAATTAAAGCGGGTGTATAATCCCGTTCTCGGAATCTTATTAATTTATTCGTTAGACAACCTTATTAATCATACTATTCACTCTAATACTAAAAAATGTACGATTCAATATTGGCTGTTTGATGAGGAAAAATGAAGTTCAAAATTTCAAATTTATAGTTAATAAAAAAATTATTACCAACATTTATTCGATTTTAGTTAAAAGCAGTTCATGTTTTTCGAAATTTTTCAAAACTTGTTGCCAAAATTTGTGAAGTTTATGATTTGTAAGATGAAATCAAAAACTCCAAAAACTAACTTCAATTGAGGAAAAACTCAATCAGTTAATGTAAGCCTGCTCACTCGCTCAAAATTAGACAAAAAAATGTAAGCCTGCTCACTCGCTCAAAATTAGAACACTATTTTGTAACTTTTAAATGTCGTTCAAATCACGACTGAAAGGGCTTTAATATGATATATCACTCAACCTAGTCCGATGATTTTTTATAGCAGCTGATTTTGCGAGGGAAAAAACTAAAACACAACCGAAAACAAAGTTCCTCCCCATTTTCAATGGTCGCAACACTAATGGTTGGAAGATGCGAAAAGTATAAAGTCCTATCGAGTTCTGTAAGTCAAGGGAGAAGCATGCAGACTAAGCAGAATGGTCTGAGAGCAGAAAGTGCCTAAGAGCGGCAAAACAACGTTTGTTTTGAATTACATCAGCGAGTTGATAAAACAAGTAATATTATTGGCAATTTTACCAGATGAGTTAATAAATAAGCAATAAATTTCATAAATCTCAGAGAACCTAAAACAAAAACTTTATGAGCTTTTTCGGCGTTATATATATATATATATATATATTGAAATTATTGATAAAATTCACGATTTTAAAACTTGTTTCATCGATTGGCCATTAAAGTTTTTTAATTGTCTTTCTTGTTCCTGCTTTTAGACCTTTTTTTTACTCTAAGGCCATTTTCTCACTGACTGGCTATTTGTCGAACTCGATATATTTGTCGACCACCGTGAGTATTCAAAACAAAATATAATGCTTATGGGTTTGAAAAGCTACAATCCGGCTCACACAGGGGCAGATTTAGGGAGGGGGGATGCGGATGCTCCCCTTATCAGGGATTCGACCCGCTGCCGACTCAAAAGGTCCTCTTGGTACTATTTTGAGATATCCATTTTTGACTGACGAACGCAAAAGTTTTTAACAGCGTCTTCGGTGCCTTTTTATACTAATTTTTAGGTGCGAGCGCTCGCGAAAAAATGCAATTTTTTGGTCAAAATTACTAAATAAGGCCTAGAAATTTCTAGATCCGCCCCGGGGTTCACATAAATCAATTATTTGTTCAACGTGGCATCAACGTTAGTATTTGTGCATTATTTTGCTCAGTTGGGTGCGCAGAAACTTTTCTAGGGGGGAAAAAAATTTAAAAAATTGGAACTTTGCCGACTTTTTTCTTAGGGTCGACCAATTTGATTTTCTGAGCTCACCGAAAGTATAATAAAGACCCTTTTTGTCAAAATTTGTCTCCACTGCAGACAATTTTTTAAAGAAAACAATTTAAAAAATGACGTTTTGCGCACTTGTAAAATATATTTGATCAAAAAATTGCGTCCCCCTCAAAATTAATTATATTGGCGACAAAGGCGATAATTTTATGATATTGAATCCTTTGGAAACATTTGGCAACCAACCAGATTTAAGGGGGGAGACGAACGCTTCCCACCTTCCCCTCTCGGCACGCTACTGATTTTGCAGTTTAATTGCATGGCAAGTGGAAGGCTCCGAAATTTTATTTTTTTTTGCAATCAATGTGACTGTTCAACAAACGATGCTGCATCACATTTTTTGTATTGCTCAGCATTTGGAGGGGGAGTAATTGTTGAGAAGATTAAGTTAGTCGAATTTTTGACCAATCAGAATCCAGCAAAATTTGAAATTTGCATAGAACGCTCTAGTGCTAATTTACTGCTTTTAATTATATGGGTGGCAATTCTTTAGCAGATACTATCGGGGTGGCGATTGCTGAGTATATCTTTTTTTTTCTTGCGAAAGTATCGACACGCTGAGACTTTGAACCTAAAAAATTTGATTTTAAGGCACACAATTGCGCGCTATGCATTTCATTGTTCTGACTTGTGAAGAAAGTGACAAATTACTTGTGCTCAGGGTGATTTTGTTCTACAGACAAATTTCGACTTTTTAATTTCCATTTTTGACGGGGTTGTCATACATCATCTTGAATGTATTGTTGTGCTGAGCTCAAAATTTAAAAAAAGATTTCACCTCCGATTATTTTTTGTAAAGTAATGGAGGCTTAAAATTTGCCATTTGTACGGCAATTTAATCCGTCTTAGAATTTGTTCCAAATTGGTTAAAGCAAGCTAATAGTCATATTTGCTATGTTACTAGGAGCAAAATCTATAACTTTGTATTTTATATGGTTTAATTTTTATAAAAATCTCAAATTTAAAATATTAAAAGTTTCGTTTTTTATGAAAAACTCATCAAATGTTTTAAATCAAAAACGGCTTTACAAAACTTATAAGGCAGTCAGAACATTCAAAGCTTCGCCCTGATGCAAGCAGTCTTTTTATTTTTATCGCCAAATAAGTGAGAGCGAGAAATTCTGTGGTGGCAATTCATTCTGCTTGCCAGTAATTTTTTGAATAGATCCCTTTGATTCCTCAAAAGACATCATTTAAATATATCACGCAGTAATTGATATCGTTTGTGGGCGCAAAAAAAATCAGAAAAAAACTCGAATTGTCTCACCTTAAACTAATTTGAGATAACTCCGATTAAACGAAAATTTTTGGGTTTTGTTCTGAAATGAATACTTTTTTCATTCATGTTGGGCAGACTTCATTTTCAATAATTGCACACTGGGATGAATTTTAATTT